ATACCACTCTCACCCAATTACGCACATAACACTTTGGTTAGAATCCCGGTCCGTCGTTGACGAATAATACCCTGGATGAACGACGCGACACGGAAGGAACATTCACGGGGATTTATCCTACGGTTTCAGTCCCACTTGAACTTTAACTACGGTGCATACCGCATTGTTGGATTTTTCCTCTGGAACACCACTCACGAGAGAGATCTCGGGGTTAGCGTGACTTCTGACCTAAGAACAACGCAGGAATCTTGAAGTAGGTAGTCACTGGAAGGATACTGGTGGGTGCCTTAAGTAGATCATTCGCTCAAATGACTACTGAGATTTTTCGACCTCTTTTCACTTCGTCCGTCCGTCCAGTCTTAGAATATGGCCTACCAGCTATCCATCTGTTTTCAAAGTTTGCATGCGCTCTGCTGGAAAAGGTTCAGAGACGTGCATCGAAAGCTGTTCTGGGGCTTCGTGATGTCCCGTACTCCATTCGACTCCAGCAGTTAAATCTGTTTCCCCTCGAGCTCCGCCGTCACCATTGATATTTTGTAGCGCCTTGGCGAATGCTACACAAGTAAACCGTAGCCCAGTAAGACAGAAGACGGCAAGATATAAAGAATGTCTTGAGAAAATAGATATGTACAATAGCTATGTAAATATAGCTTGAGGACAGTGGGAGAGTGGTGAAGCGGAGTTACCCCAAGTCGGAGTACAACAGCCGGCAGCGTGCGGGCAAAATGGCGGACCAGGTTCAGAATTGCAGTCCAGTATATATAGGCTTGGGATGGGTGCAAAGTAAAACAAAATGTGTACCAGTCTGGATGTGATGTTTGATGGAGTAAAATGTCATGGTCACTACCCTGGTCTCCCCCTAGAAGGCCGAGGGACGAGGACTTCGATTGCTGTTGGCTTGCAGATGTATAAAGGCAGAATCACAGGAGTTCGGTTGTATTTGGATTATTTAATCTTCTTGTGGATTGGGATGCATCGTCGGTGGGCCGTCCCACCGGACTACAAAAAGCTGGCTAATCCAGTAAAAGGGCCGGTAGGACCTTTCACCGCTGCTGAAGGACGGTGCGCTTGGGAGAGGTCACTCCCCCCACCGCATTCCAATCCACTGCCACAACGAAGCTGAAATCCTGTTCGTACCGGCGAGCCGTGGGGGACCAAAAACAACGAGCCCAGCACACGAGCAGCCAAAGCCAGGAAGGCGAGCCAGACAAACGACCTGAGCGAGCCAAATTGGGCCAAGCAGACCACGATCCAAAGGTCGACGTGGGCGGGCGAGACGACAAAGCGTTGGGGGTAGACCAAAGCATCCGAACGACCAAAACAATTGAAAGACAACAGCCAACCGTTGAACGGACGGACCCAAACGTGCCAGCCTCATGACTTTATTTGATAGATGGGAACAAAACTCGGGGACAGATTCCGATATGTACTCTGCTAACGGAAAAGCATAATACAAACGATGAGAGAAAATGAAAAAGATTCATGAGGTGTGGATGAGTTCGAAAAAATCGGAGAAACGAACAGGTTTACGAACTTTTCTACCGTGACTGGTATTAGTTTGAGGCGAATCGGGTGACTGGGATTGTGATGGAGCTGAAAAGGTGGGCGTCGATACAGGTGGCTCTGTAGATGGAACAAACTGTTGTTCATCAATGAACGCAGGCTTGACGCGATCTATCGAGACTGTATCACTTTTACCCCCACGGTCAATCACCAAAGTTTTTAAAAACCGTTGGATAACACGGTATGGACCTGTGTAAGGTGCGGAGAGAGGCTGTCTCACTTGGTCGACACGTAAGAATACGTGAGAACATGTAGAAAGGTCTTTCGGAACGTGCACTGGAGTGCGTTGTTCCCTGGGTCTCGCGGGATGCAGCTGACGCATGTGGTGCGTCAGACGAGCTATGTAGCTCTTGTAGTTCCATGCCCGCTCCGGGGTTGGGGAGACTAATTGTCCAGGGAGACGCAATGTGCAGCCATAGACGAGTTCAGCCGGAGCAGCGTTAATGTCGGTTTTGACAGTATTTCGTAAGCCAAGCAAAACGGCGGGAAGCGCTTCGTACCAGTCTGCGTTATCATGTGCACATAGTGCAGCTTTCAGCTGGCGGTGAAAAAGCTCAACCATGCCGTTGGCGGCAGTGTGGAATGCAGTCGTTTGGACGTGACGGCAGCCGAGAGTCTGAAGAAGGTGAGCAAATGTGCCTGCGAAGTGCGAACGTCGATCAGTTGTCACAACGGCAGGACAACCAAAGTATGAGACCCATCGCTCTAAAAAGTCGCGAGCGACAGTGTCTGATGAGCAATCTGGCATTGGAATGGCATCAGGCCATCTTGTAAAGCGGTCTATACAAGTCAGCAAGTACACGCATCCTTTAGATGGGGGCAGTGGCCCAACAAGGTCAACATGAATATGGTGAAAACGGGCATCAGGAAGTGGGAATGAACCAAGCGGACTTTTCGTGTGTCGATGAACCTTAGACTGTTGGCAACTAAGGCACGTACGAGCCCACTGTCTAACGTCCCGGTTGACGTTGCGCCACACGAAGCGTTGTGTGACGAGCTTAACTGTGGCATGAATGCCTGGATGTGATAAACTGTGAAGAATGTCAAACACAGTGCGTCGGAAAGCTTGGGGAACCACTGGTCGTGGTGAATTTTGCGAAACGTCGCAAAGTATGGTTCCATCCGAAGTAGGCAGTGGAACTGGTCGTATGCGCAAGGAGCTAGAATTACGAAGCTGATCAAGCTCCGGGTCGGTCAGTTGAGCGGCAGCCATTGCCGTTAGATGGATACCTTCAGCGGAAGTGATGGAGCTGACGCGAGAAAGAGCATCAGCGACGGAGTTCTGCACACCCGAGACGTGCCGTATGTCTGACATAAACTGTGAGACATAGTCCAGGTGGCGTATCTCTCTCGGAGAGTATCGGTCGGATGACGAGTCGAGGGCGTAAACTAAAGGCTTGTGGTCAGTAAAGACGGTAAAGCTTCTGTCCTCTAGAAAAGGACGAAAATGACGGATGGCGAGGTAAACAGCCAGAAGTTCTTTCCCGAAGGTGCTGTAACGTGTCTCCGCTGGCTGCAACCGTTTCGAAAAGAAACCCAAAGGTTGCTATGTATTGTCGACAGCCTGCTGAAGAGCAGCACCAACGGCCTCGTCTGAGGCATCAGTGACGAGAGAAATTGGAGCAGATGGTACGGGATGTGCTAAGAGAGCAGCATTAGCGATTGTGTCTTTAAGGTTTGAGAAGGCTAATCGCGCGGACTTGGTAAAAACAAACGAACGTTGATTGCCCCGAAGCAAGTTAGTCAAGGGCTGCATCATCCTAGCACAACACGGAATAAAGCGTCTATAGTAGTTAACTATCCCAAGGAAACTTTTAAGCTGTTTAAATGATGTAGGTTTAGGGAAATCTTTGATGGCGGTTACCTTTTGAGACAGTGGTTCAATACCTGTAGCTGAGATGCGGTGACCTAGGAACTCGATCGACGATTTTCCTAGTTCGCACTTGCTAGGGTTCAAGGTAACGCCTCGATCAGATAGACGTTGGAATAGAGTACGCAGATGCTCTAAGTGTTGCGACTTAGAGGCGCTAGCTACTAGGATGTCATCCACGTAAGGATATGCGAAGTCCAGACCACGAGTAACGTCATGGATGAACCGCTGGAATGTTTGAGCAGCGTTCCTTAACCCGAAAGGCATTCGAAGGAACTCGAATAAACCAAAGGATGTTATAACTGCCGTTTTGGGGATATCGCAGTCCTCTACAGGAATCTGGTGATATGCTCGCGTCAGGTCTATCTTACTAAACACTGACTTACCACCGAGACTACTTGTAAGGTCCTGGATGTGCGGTATAGGGTACCTATCTGCAACTGTGCACTTGTTCAGCGCCCGGTAGTCTCCGCATGGCCGCCAGTGGCCGCCTTTCTTGGGCACCATGTGGAGAGGTGAGGCCCACTGACTTTCGGAAGGACGGATGATACCAAGTTCGGGCATGTGCTCGAATTCCGCCTTAGCGGCTTTTAGCTTATCAAGGGCGAGACGTCGTGGCCGTGCAGAAACCGGTGGGCCACGGGTTCGTATATGGTGCGTAACGCTAGATGCGACCGGAAGCGTAGCGTCAGCTGGGTGGACCAGCTGCGGAAACTGTCTGAACAGTTCTAAAAATTCCTTATCAGCTTCGGGCTGAATGTAAATGGGAGTGACAGAAACACAAGATGTGCGAACTCCACATGTGAAACTCTGGGTCTTTATGTCAACGAGTTTGCGATGACCCGTATCGACGAGAAGATCGAAGTGTTGAAGGAAGTCGATACCCAATATAGCAAACGGAATAGCAGCGATGGTGAAAATCCATCGAAAGGAACGTCGTAGTCCGAGGTCAATGGTAAGAGAGCGCTGACCGAAAACTCGGATAGCAGTGCCGTTAGCGGCACGCAAGTTGGTTGTCTGTGGCTTAGTCGCGTCGCCTGGAACCGGTGGGATCACGTTAACTTCCGCCCCGGTATCAACCAAGAACATGATCCCAGTGTTCCTGTCAACGATATTGAAGAGGCGATTTGGACGACTTCGGCCGACGGCGTTCGTCGCTAATACGTGTCGGCCTGTCCTTTTTCTCCTTACGGGAAATGAGCATGGTTTTATACAATTTCTAGCGGACCTTCCAAAACGTGTGTGATAACGGCAAATTGGGCGCCGTTTTCGTCTTCAAGATGGGCTAGGGGAACGGGATGGAGAATCTCGTTGGTGCCGATGTAACTTTAAGCTTTGAACTTCTTGCCGTAGCGCGGCTATCTCTGCTAAGAGCTCACCAGTCGAAGGTGGAGTAGCGGTGCCGATGGTTTGGACCGAAGGGTCAACAGTAAAACCTACGTCAGGTGAGCGAAGAGAACTAGACGACGGACACGGTGGTCCGGTGAAACGATCCATCCTGTCATCAGCAATATCTGCAATGTCTGACAAAGGCTGCGATTTCGCAAGCGATAGCATAGCTTGTACGTTTTCAGGCGAACGCTGAAGCCATAACTCTCGAAGCAGCGACTCGTCCATATGCAATCCTTGAAGAAGACCACGCATCGCTAGCAATAGCGCGGATGGCTTACTAGAACCTAGCTGTAGACCAGTAAAAAGTTTATGCTGGCGGGACTTCACTGAGGGAGTAACACGCTTTATTACCGCGTTCTTGAGAGAATTATAGCGGTCAGGAGGACAAGATGTAATAATAAGATCACGTAGTGCTAAAGTAATATCAGTCGGCAGGCGTGTTAGCAAGTGATTAAACTTTGCAGTCATTGGTAACATGCTTAGAAGTAAATTCAGCTTCTAAAATCATGAACCACAAAACGGGATCCTTTTCAATAAAGGGTGGAACTACGAGAGATAATGCTTGCACAGACTGTGAATCTTCACACATTTTAGAAACTGAGGCCATGGCTTGCGTGGAAAAAACCAAAGAAATGGAACGAACTCACCGGAATGCGATTGGGGTCACCAATTATGTAGCGCCTTGGCGAATGCTACACAAGTAAACCGTAGCCCAGTAAGACAGAAGACGGCAAGATATAAAGAATGTCTTGAGAAAATAGATATGTACAATAGCTATGTAAATATAGCTTGAGGACAGTGGGAGAGAGTGGTGAAGCAGAGTTACCCCAAGTCGGAGTACAACAGCCGGCAGCGTGCGGGCAAAATGGCGGACCAGGATCAAAATTGCAGTCCAGTATATATAGGCTTGGGATGGGTGCAAAGTAAAACAAAATGTGTACCAGTCTGGATGTGATGTTTGATGGAGTAAAATGTCATGGTCACTACAATTTCATCTACAGTAGGCGCATCCTCCGAGGGGAACTTGGAAGTGAGTTACAACAATTCTTCCTGCCCAACACTGACTGTTTCACACGAGGCCACACATGGAAAATATTTAGGCAAATAAGACGGAATTCGTATGGATGTCACCCTATCCACTAGAGTGGTGAATGATTGGAACAGCCTACCGGAAGAAATTGCAGTCAAGCCATCCGAGGAATGTTTCAAGCGGCTGCTAGACAAACATTCGCATCTTCACCCGCAAGATCCCAGCATCCTCAGCGAATGTTTGTCTAGCAGCCGCTTGAAACATTCCTCGGATGGCGTGACTGCAATTTCTTCCGGTAGGCTTTTCCAAGCATTCACCACTCTAGTGGATAGGGTGACATCCATGCGAATTCCGTCTTATTTGCCTAAATATTTTTCATGTGTGGCCTCGTGTGAAACGGGACCAGGATTCTCACATCTGGCGGGAACGGGTTTGCTGGCCGAGATCAACCGGCACAGCCGGGAGTATAATGGTAGCGTAGGATACTGATATGTAGTTAAATGATTTGTAAACATTATAAAGAAACCAGTAGCGGCTGTATAAGGGAATCAAGGTGCTGTAGCTTTTATAGTACCATAGTTTACCGTAACCTTGGTACCAGCTGCCCGAAGTTTCAAATTTCATAAATGGGTCTAAATTGGACCTAAGTTATTGGATAAGTAAATAGTGCAATCAGCTAGCCAGAAAATGCAGAATAGACACTTTAAGGTAGTATCTAAATAGTGATACACTTAAATTGAAGTGGAAATGAATATTTTGCTTACCTCATGTGCTCCTATGTGATTTCTTTTTTGGAGAAACGTCTGGGCACAATGGTTGGCTTACTTCGAGAAATAGGTGGAAAAGAACGGAAATGACTGTGAGAATAACATGTAAATAACGGGGTAAACGGATGTGGCGCGAATAGGCAAATAACCATGCGATATGCGCATACCTATTTACATATGAGACTTGTTACTGAATGCGTATTTTTAAAGGAAAAGTAACGCGAAAGCGTCAGTTGCATATACGAATGCCTGAGGAGCAGTTAGTTAAGTGAGCTAAAGTGAAGGAGAAGTGAAGGTGCATGTCGGTCCCTAGTCAATATGTGGTGGATAAATGCGCATAGCGGCGGAATGGGCTTTCATAGGGTACACAAATGGTTGATGAAACCTTTAAATATATATATATAACGTTGCAAAATTAGAATGCATATATTTGTAATTAAATATATGCATTCACTTTCAGACTGCATTATGTATGCATAAATGTACGCATCATTAACCTCAATCCCATATATATATATAGATATAGGTTAATAACGCGTACATTTATGTATACGGAATGTTGTCCGAAAGGTAATGCATATATTTCATTACAAATATATGCATTCCCAATTTTGCAACTTCAAAGTGATTAGAAATGGTCTTGCTCCTCCAATCTAAGTGCGCTTATATCCTTATGTAGAAACACATTTGTATGCGTGTTACGGTAAAACTGATCATCAGTTCTATGACATTTAAGGGGACGACACGTTATTAGTCCCCACTATGATTACCTAATGCAAATCCCCGCAACTGGACGTCAGTGGACCAACGTATACATTCTTTTCATTACAGAGATAGAAGTGACCTTTTCCGTACGTAAATGAGTAACTAATTAAGTACGTGCCTGTCAGTTTTCATGGAGTTTAACCGGTATCTCTAATGGTGCATATCAAGGTGTCAGGAGTAAAGTAAGTAGGTTACGCATTTCATTAATAAGCTAATACCGTTTTATGATTAATACTAAGGAAAAGTTATCACACCTAGTATATGCAGAAGTTATGGGAAGCATAGGGAATAATAGGATGGCAAAACGAAGAAGGAAAAAATCAAGGAACATTTTGCGATGTTTTCACACAAGTAGCCCACATATGTACGCAAGACTATAGGTAGGTTTATGTTCCTGCAAACGTGACGGGTACGCAGTAAGGCCGTATGATTGCCTCACGCGTGGCATTTGTTTGTTCAATGAACCGCCCTCCAGTGTTGGCCGCGATTGGTTGCACGAGCAATGCATGGAAAAGTATCATGTGTTCTATAGCAGCGGTGTCATAAAGATCATTATACAGGTAGATATTTTTGACTTCACTGCGGTAAAGGAACGGCGCCTAGTAAGCCTATGTATATTCTACAGAGAATCCTAATTATGACCTACAGCGACAGTTATGTGATCTGCGCCAGGATGCTACATGAACGGCCTTCACTTATGCTAATTGGGTTCCATGATATTTGCAGCCATATGGGCTCTAGGGAGGCCTCAAATACTTGCTGCGCATGTCTTGAGGGCTAGTTATTAGTAGTGCTATATTGGTCGCAGAGCATTGGTGTCCTTATTGAACGCAGCATAATCGCCGTCGTTGGAACGAGTATCCTTAAATACGGGCGGGTACGAATACCGTAATGGCCCAGCAGCGGCGGTATAGTAAGCACTGCTAACGAATGAAAAGGGAATGCATCTGCACGCCCATATAAGTCTCATAGAGGGCATTATTTTTGCCAGGAGGGAAGCCACAGTGGTAACCTTAGGCATTGAGACAAAATGGACGTAAGTAATGGGCTCTGTCAACGCTACTGATATGACTGGGAGTCACATGGTTTTTAATTTCTTTCCTTCATTGCATGCAACTACGTAATGGTCATTGGTTGCACTAAACCTTGTTTGGGCTCCTGTGCTCATGAATCACTTCATGGCAAATTTACCCCCCACTTTTATCTTGACGCAACAGTTTTTGCGCGCCACAGCGCCATCATGGTCCTTGGTCTGACTATTATCTGACAATATGCTCGCTCATATGAACTACATCTTTTCGTTTATTCCTTTCATTGTACCGAAATGTTTTAATATTCTAAAGATGCTATGCTTGTATGCATATTTGATCATGCCTTTTAGAGGTGTGTCTCGTTTTACAGAGTATATACCATTTATTTATTTATTTATTTATGCTGAGTAATCGTGATAATGTGGAAATGGTAACGAAAAAGAGACACAAATGGTGCGCTGACGTCTGTACCGATTCCGAATATTCACGTCATCATGGGGAGCGCGTGAGGCGCTCTTGACCCAAAACGTGCGAACACTGAGGAATGGTAAATGAAAATTTATTCCGTAGACAAACATGAAAGCAATATGCATGGATGTATCGCGGGGTTAACTTACTCAATCACATGGAAGCGATGTAGCGCACCTCCCGATAGTGGAGTGTATGGTTCACGTCATCAACGTCTTAGACAAAATTACCGGGAAATGAAAGATAACGTAGTTCGGTGGTAAACGTTTGATAATTCTTCATTGCGGTGCCACCCATCAACGGGCGACTGACCCATCGAAGGTACAAATTGCACCATTGATAAATTTTTGGTCTGCCATTGTCACCTACCTTGTCTAGAAGTTGATTTTGGAAATAGCATAGTGAGCACAGCTGTCACATCGGAACCACAGTAATGCTGTGGTTTGCAGACAGGCGGATGAGATAAACTACACCAGCGGCCGCAGACTGCAAACAAAAATGTTAGCGCTAAACAACATGCTTACCGGCTGCTGTGAGAATGCACTGCACACCTCTTGTATCGTTGCTCAAGGTTAATATGCAATGCTGGATGTCAATAAAAATGAAGTTTGGTCTCCGTTTGCAGTATTGAGTCACTGCAGCGTAAGTGAAGATAACTTACCCGTTACTGCATCGGTTATCTCCTGTTCGGTTTTTGCTTTACAACTGTTTAGTAAAGACCAATGCATGGCGCTATAAATGATAAGTCGTAGCTAAAATGTTTGTTAGTGCAGCGGAAAAGCGGGAATGTAGCTGCTGCGCTGTCGGAAAATCAATCGATAGGTTACGACAGCACTCGCACACAGTATTAAAGTGGACTGTCCAGTACGTTGTTCGGTGGATGCTTACGGATCCACGTAATGCATCTATGTCCCAGTGTTCCAACCGTTGAAAGCCGTGGGGTGTATAGATGGTGCTTGCAGAGGGGAAACGCAAGGCTAAAGAACAGACAATGGACCTGAGAAGGGCCGTGAGGTCGTTCACGCAGACATGGATAATGACAATCAGTTCGACTTCGGAAAATCACGTGCAATAAATACTTACTATCGGGGAGCCAAGGAAACTGAACCACATAGCGATCACATAAGTGACAAGAGCTATGAAATCGGCGTACATACATTGAAATCGCTTGCCTGTTTAAAGCGTAGGCCGCAGTGTTACCGAGGACGCTGGGTACGGCAGTGGCATTCAACGGATCCGGGAATTGTTACAGTTTCTGTTGTTAGGTAAGTGAATGAAAGAAACACACTTACCTGTCACCATGATGACAGACGTTAAGGCTAGTTGCGATGTCGCCGGAGGCTGCTACACAACAGGGCGACGTGGGGAGGACGTGGTGAGTAGGTTCAATGGGCTGAAAACAGAGTGTATGCATTTAGGGCACCTGCCTGTGAAAATCTGTGGCGTCAGTGTGACTGCGGACGCTGGGTAAGGCCCAGCGGAGCGGA